GTTCGTGAAGGGCATTCGGCCGGGTTTGAGAGTCTTGCTCATGTAAGTCCGTTAAAGGCGGGGAAGTGTCGTGTGACTGATTCTAACGAGATAGATCCTGGAGATGTGCTACCAGGTCGGCATCAAGGTTGTGACTGTGTACGCGTTTTCAATCGAAAACTTCAAGCGGCCGACAGTTGAGGTTGATGCGCTGATGGAGATTGCGAGAACCAAGTTGCTGCAAATCATCCACCACGGCGACCTAGCTGACCGTTTCGGGATTTCGATCCGTGTGCTTGGACAGCGCAGCATGATTCCGCCGGACGTTCTTGCCGCGATTGACAAGTCGACGGAAATGACCAAGAAGAATACCACGTATGTTCTTGGACTCGGATGACATTGACATTTTCTAAATCGTGAGCGCAGTGCCATCTTAAACATTTGTTTCCCGTACACGTCGCGCGATGACATCGCGACGTCGATGCGCGAGATCGTGACAAAGTCGGAAAAACACGAGCTCGACCCAGAGACGATCGACGAAAGCCTGCTTGAGCAGAACATGTACACAAAGGACTGCCCACCGCTCGACATCCTCGTGCGTACGTCCGGCGTTGAGCGACTTTCGGATTTCATGCTCTGGCAATCGCACCAGAACTGTACGGTCGAGTTTGTGAATTGCCTGTGGCCTGAATTTGAGCCCTGGCGATTCGGGTCGATCTTGCTCAAGTGGAGTCGTAGCAAGGCTGTGGAGTTCCGCAAGAGGGAGATGGAGCGCGACCAGAAGCAGCTCTGATTGTCGTCGATGAAATATCATCATCATGTAATTGTTTGTATGAGGTTTTGCTTTGTTTGCTATGCATATGTTAGTTTTATATAGATGATGGGTTTTACATAGGGAATAATTATCATTAGGAGCCTGGGAATTGTTATGACAAGAGATTTGCTGTTGCAAAAAAAAAGAGAATAAATCCAATGGATCATAGATGAATTTAGTTTAGATGGGAAGTTCAGTGTGGTTGTGGCACCGTGTCGACTGTTTAAGTAATACGACACATGAACCTGTGCTTTTTAACCGTAATTCCATGTACAGTTGGACAGTGCCCCTGCAAGCACAGCAAAATATTTCAGCCACGGATATCTATTGCAACTGCAGATGACAATATCTCAACATCTATATCCGTCAGTAGCATGACTCATTTACTGACGTGTCAACTGTCGGAACTGCGGCCACAGCGGAGGAGATAGCATTTGTCTTGCACCCGGTTTCTACAGACAGTAATTGACCATTGTACTAATCATGAACTACAAATCAATGTAAACTTGGTGAGCGTGATCCAGCTCGTCGAGATCGAATGAGCGGATATTCCACTCAAAATATGATTCACACAAATTAGCTGAAACCGAGGGAGTGAGTATATAGAGGCAACTAGTGGCGTCGATGGCTAGCTCTGAACGGTATCACTAGTATGTAGCGATGTTGATAGCGTTCTGTTGTCTTCTATGGGTGGAGATTAAGGAAAAAAAAAGATTTCAAGCAGCCTACAGGTGATAATCTAATTTTGGTGCTGCGGTTAGCTTTGCCCTTGGACTAACGGCCGAGACAAAGAAGGTGCGGCGAAATACAGAAGCTAGGACCATAGTTTCGGCGATCTGCGATGACCATTTTTGTTCATTAGTTTTGTGAGTTCTTTTGTTGTTATTTATACAGTCAAACACCGATAAGCCGATATATTGTGTTGTCTGAATCCTCATATTAGGTGGTGTGCGAATACCCGATAAGCCGATACCGTTCCTGTATAGGCTTAACCCTCGTAAAACGACATCAAATTGTTGGAAAACTTTGGGACTAACTAGTATAAAATACACTTTATTACTAATAATGTTTGTGGGCGGCGCCGGAGGCCCTGTGCTTTTGCTTGAAGGCGCCACTTAATATTTCAGATGCTTGCGCCGTTTGTCGGATCCGACCGATGAGTCCAACGGCCGCAGCGACTCCGTTATCGGGTTATCTCGCGAGTCGCGAATCATAACTCCGTCGACGAGTTACTTACTCACCGCAGCTGCGAACTAAGGACTGCCACTACCAACTGATTTATCAAACAACTCATACTTGATTGTCAATTCATGTCCACTTAGTCGAACCTGCCGTGTGCTGTGTCTGCCGTTGTAACAATAGCGCCACACTTTGTTGTGTCCATAGCTTCACCCGGGCCCCACGTACCCGGTGTACCATTATCAAATTACTTCCCATTGTCGTTCGTTCTAGTGTAAATCTTCTTGGCTGTGACTGATACTTTGCATGTGTATGTGTCTCTTGTCTGCGTCTGAACCTTCCCTCGCCCATTTCGCGCCGCGGGCCCTCTGTCTTCGGTACCTACCTTATCCCACCTACTCTCGTACTTAAACCCCTGTCTGCTGTCTGCTGTCTGCCATCTGCTCTCCACTACTCGGTTCTGCTCTGAAAAGTCGACCCGATCGCTACACAAATGACAGCCTCACCACTCCCTCAGAGTGCCGGCTACGGCATCGTCGTCGGCCTAGGCCTGGCATTCGCCATTGGCATGATCCTCACCACCTACATGCTCAAGCGCTATCAGCACGAGCGCATCACCTCCGAAGAGTTCTCCACCGCTGGTCGCACCGTCAAGACCGGGCTCATTGCCTCAGCAGTCGTCTCCTCCTGGACTTGGGCTGCCACTCTTCTTCAGTCCTCCGGCGTAGCCTACCGCTACGGTGTAAGTGGACCATTCTGGTATGCGTCTGGTGCCACTGTCCAAATCATTCTCTTTGCGACTATCGCAATTGAGCTTAAGAAGCGTGCCCCGAATGCCCACACCTTCCTCGAAGTCGTGCGTGCCAGATACGGTCCGATTGGCCACTGTGGTGAGTTTCCGTCGCACGGAATTTTTTGAATTGTATCTAATATTTTCAGTCTTCATGTGCTTCGGCTTGTTCACGAATATCCTCGTCACCGCAATGCTCTTGACCGGCGGTAGTGCCGTAGTGACCAATCTGACTGGCATGCACACGGTCGCTGCCTGCTTCTTACTTCCCGTCGGCGTCGTCGTCTACACCCTTTTTGGTGGTATCAAGGCCACATTCTTGACAGACTACATCCACACCCTCATCATCCTCGTCATCATCCTCATTTTCGCCTTCACGACCTACGCCAGGTCCGACGTACTCGGCTCGCCTGGCATGGTCTGGGAGATACTACAAAAAATATCAAGTGAGCACCCTGTCGCCGGCAACGCGCAGGGCTCATACCTAACCATGCACTCCAAAGAGGGTGCCATTTTCTTCGTCATAAACCTGGCCGGAAATTTCGGTACAGTCTTCCTTGACAACGGTTATTGGAACAAGGCCATTGCGGCGTCTCCCGCGTCGGCTCTGCCCGGATATGTTCTCGGCGGTGTCGCCTGGTTCGCAATTCCCTGGCTATGTGCGACGACCATGGGCCTCGCTTGTCTTGCACTCGAGACCACTCCCGCATTCCCCACATTTCCCAATCGTATGAGTGCCGCTGATGTTTCTGCCGGTCTCGTGCTTCCGAACGCCGCCGTCGCGCTGCTCGGCAAAGGTGGCGCCATGTGCTCGCTCCTCTTGGTCTTCATGGCCGTCACATCCGCGTCGTCTGCCGAACTCATCGCGGTCTCGTCCATCGGCACCTACGACGTTTACAAAACCTACATCAACCCACGCGCGACGGGCAAGCAACTCATTCTCGTCTCGCACTCGTGCGTCATCCTCTACGGTCTCATCATGGCCGCCTTCTCTGTCGGCCTCTTCTACGCCGGCGTGTCCATGGGCTACCTCTACCTGCTCATGGGCGTCATCATCTCCTCCGCCGTCTTGCCCGCCACTCTCACACTCATGTGGTCCAAACAGAATCTCCTTTCGGCAGCAGCATCCCCGGTCCTCGGTCTAGCGTGCAGCTTGATTGCCTGGCTCGTGACGACCTCCAAGCAGAACGACGGCATCATCAACGTCACAACGTCGGGGGCGAACAACCCCATGCTCGCGGGCAACGTCGTCGCGCTCCTCTCCCCGGCTGTCTTCGTCCCGATTCTGACGTATCTCGGTGGCCCGCAGAACTACGACTGGGAGTCTATGAAAACCATCAGGCAAGTCAACGACGATGACGTTCTAATGCCATCCACAGTCTCAGCCGGCGACGAGGACTTAAAGGACAGTCGCTCAAACACCGCCTCTGGTCTACCAGCAACTCCAATCGACTCCACTGCCGCACTGATCCGGGCCTCCAAAATCGCACGAAGCCTAACGGTCTTCATGACAGTGGCCCTTCTTGTTCTCTGGCCAATGCCAATGTACGGCAGCGGGTACATCTTCTCCAAGAAATTCTTCACTGGCTGGGTAGTAGTCGGCATCATCTGGATTCTAGTTTCTCTCATCGTCGTCGGCATTTACCCCCTCTGGGAAGGTCGCTTCGCGCTTGCACACACAGCGAAAGGTATGTGGTATGATATTTCGGGACAACGTGGTCGGCTTATCAAGAACGCAAATCCGGACTTTGTTGTCGACGGTGCCGATATCACCGTGCCGCGTGATGACGTCGTTGCCGAGAAAAAGGAGTGATTGTGCGCTCATATTGCTTCCAGTTTATTTGGTTATTTCTTTCGGATGTACCTCGCATTTAATATATAATATTTAATATGTGCTCATATTGGATATCGGCCATGAACGATTGTGACGGGATAGTGAGTAACCTAAAATGTCGTACTCAATATATTAATCCTAAATGCCCAGAAACGATCCCGTAACAACTGGGCCTTTGAGATGCTTAAGATATAGTCGGCCCGCTTGCGAGAGTGCGTGGATTAACTCAGCTACCGTTGTAGTCTTAACAACCATAATCTATGCCGACTAGCGATCGGACGGTCCATTCCACCAACACCGTAAATTCAAACTAAATCCAACAAACAAAATAAAAAAAAAAAAAAAAGGGATCCTAACCGCTCCAAAAAAACAACTGCATGTGCCAGGAGTTAAACCTGGAATTTCTTCCCTGCCAGGGGTCGAACCTGGAATCTCCCGCTACATACAAACTTTAGTTATCGTAGGCGGACGCCTTGCCATTGGGCCACAAGGAACGTTGTTATAAACTAAACAAACTATTGGCCCTTTGTACCGGGGGCCAGGTTCGGGTTTTTGGTACATTTGGTGCCTTAACTCAAGTTTAACTTTTCTATTTTTATATAACTTTAATATAACTGGCTTACAATCAAATTATTTGTAGTATCCTTTCTTTCTTTCTTTCTTTCTTTTTCTTGCTTTCTTTCTTTCTTACTTACTTACTTCCTTCCTTCCTCACCTGTTCCAAAGAAAGAAAGCCGAAATAAAGTCATGACAATGAAGGTTGCAGGTGTATGAGAACAAGAACTGATTCCTAATGTCTGAAAACATCGTATAATATATAGCACCTTACGTCTCATAGCTTTGTTATACTTCAGCTTGCATATATCTAAAACCGATATCCACGGGCAGAGTTGTCATACCGGCAATCGAAGAGTAAAGAGATAAGGAATGGTTGTGATTGAGCCCATGGTGTAGTTGCGTACGCGAACAAAGTTCACCGCCACATATACGACTATACGCAGTGTCGACAGTGCTATATATTCTTCATCGCCCACTTCTAATTCCCGTCTCGCACCTCATTTCTCAATTTTGAAGTTGGATACTCTTAGGTTGCCATTGTCCGATAGCGTCCTATTACGTCTTAGACAGTACCTAGAAGAGACAGCATGAGAATCGCCGACGCCGATGTCCCGAGTTTGTGTCCACCGCACGTAAGATCATATAATTGATCTTACCAGCTAACCATCTCTAGAATTTGTGCTTGTACCAAAACAGACCGAGATCGAAGTCTTTTATCACAATCCATTACATCGAGAGCTTGCAGCATTGGTGCAATATCGGATCAAGTTTCGAGAGGTAGCTACAATAGCATCCGAGTCCACCGACTCTGGAATGCTTTCCGATAAGCCTTTTACGGCTGATAATGTTGCTCATCAAGTCTATGGTTTATACTGCGAAACTCCAATAGGCGACTATGCGCTACGACAAGAGCTTTTTTTCCCAAGCCGGCCACCATGCGACAAAGGTATAGAAACCGTCGCTTCTGGCGAAGCATCCAATCCGCCGCCCAAGAAAACTCTCGCGGCCAGGTTTTTTAACCCAAAGCCAATCCCATGCGAGCTGGGTACAATCTCGCTTTACAACCCGACAACAGCACATCCGTCTCGACCATGCTCCAGCCATGCTTGAACCAGTACAGTTCGAGTCTCTATGACTCTCTGCGCCACCATGCCTGTCCCGCCGGCTACGCATTCGCCTATATACCGCCTCCATCCGCCACGACAAAGAAGTACACATTCGTATGGAATGACATTGACATCTCATCCTCATTCGGTGGTCCAGCAAGCATGTCCGGAAAATGCAACTTCGTTGACCCAGCATCCATATCCACACGTATCACTGTCGCGAAACTATACATCTACAATCTCGACAAACTATTATACCCCAGTGCCGCACCACCGAGTACATCGGAGGAAAGAATTAACGAGATTGAGCTTTTCGAGGATAACATTCGGTTGCTGGATGTCGATGTTGATAGGAAAGGTTTTGAGGCGAGCTTGCTGCTGTCTGTATTAATGATTGCGACTGTGAATGAACGCGCGCGGGCAATGACGTTGCGCGAGAAACGGACGAAAAAGGAATTGGAGACTGCCGAACGTGCTAAGCGTGAGAAAGTCCGTGTCCGGACTGAGGCTGAACTCCAGAAGAAGCGCGAGCAGGATAAGGCCGATGCCAAAGCTCGAGAGGAATTACGAAAGAGCGAGGAGCTTGCGAAAACACTGCAAGAGAAAGAACAAGCTAAAGCTGATAAAGAGAGGTTGAAAATGACAATAGAGGGTGAAAGGTATGCGAAGATGCTGGCCGCGCGGGAGAACGAAGCCCGCAGGAAAGACGAAGAGATGGCTCGGAAATTGCAGGACAAGGAAAAGCAGGAATTGGCGAGGATTCAACGAAGTGACGAAGAATTCGCTCGTAGACTGCAGATGGAGGAAGGCGGCAATTCGCAAACTCGAAGCTATGGCATTAAGTTGCCAAATTTCACTTCGAAGCTTTTCGCACATGACTTACATCAACACAAATAGTATCTAATGCTACTACATATGATATTTTGGAGGCGTATAGATGGATTTTATGGAATACAAAGGGAATGTTTTAACATTGACATACATATGACTATAAACCATATGAGGATAACATAAACCCATCAAAACATAATAGACAGTTGACCCATAAATTTATAACATAGCGCATAAAACATTTTGAACTTAGACGTTCCCTGTGACTGGCATCTGCTTATTTTGTATATATGCCATATCTCGAAGCGATAAAAACAAACAAATAAACACAATTCTCAATAATTAATACTATCAGATGCTCATGCTCGCGTCTTGATACTCTTCGACACTTGGGGCTGGTTGGTCATGTGCGGGTATTTGATTCCCTGCTGAACTTTGGGGACGAAATAAGGGTGCTGCAAGGCCCGTTTAGCTGAAATTCGGCATGAAGGGTCGTACACCAGGAAAGATTCTAAAAGGTCAATTCCATCTTGATCAAGTACTGGGATATGCTTCGCTAAATCCTTGCGGCTCCATTGCGGGAACGTAGTCTTGAAATCCGGGAGCAGGGACACGCCAGGCCAGACATCCTCATCTGGCGTGCCGAGCAATCTGAAAATCTTGAAAATCTCGTCAATTTCCGAGTCGCCAGGGAACAACGGCTTGCGCGTAACCATTTCTGCGAAAATGCAGCCAATTGACCAAATATCGACGCCAGTTGAGTATTGGCGGCCACCGAGCAGGATCTCGGGCGAGCGATACCACAGCGTGACAACCTCGTGCGTATAGACTCGCAGAGGCACTCCGAACGCTCTGGCGAGACCAAAATCCGCAAGCTTCAAATTTCCTTCTTTGTCAATCAGCAGGTTCTGGGGTTTGAGATCTCGATGTAAGATTCTGTGTGCGTGGCAGTAATTCGTGCCCTGCACCAGCTGCGACATAAACTTTTTGATCATATCTGCCCCAAGACCGACGTTCTGTGGGATGGCTTCCATGTACTTTTTCAAATCCATATCAAGGAACTCGAACACCAAGTACAGCTTGTGATTGTCAGCATGAACAATGTTGAAAAGCGATACAATATTTTCATTGCGCATTTCCTTGAGCAGCGAGATTTCTCGAATTGCGGTAGACGGAACACCCTCATCCTCAGCTTCCAGCCGAATCTTTTTCAGTGCGACTACCCGGTTGTTGTTTGTAGTGTCGCGAGCCTTGTACACCACACCGTAAGTTCCTTGATAACAAGTCATCAGCTGTTGCATTCTGTAGAATCTAACAGGTGACTTACCTTCACCGATCTTTTCTAACTTCTGGAAATCCGAAAGCTCAACCATCTTGAACTATAAGTCGCGCTTGCCGTGCGCGAATAAATTCGTAATCAAACGTGGACTGATTCGCAGCCGAATCCAGGGAAATCAATATCGCTTCAAAAAACTTAGCAGATAACAATATCTCTTGAAAACGAGATTTTTTTGAGGACCTGAGGACGAAAACCAAACAGCCAAGACTTGGAACGTGGGACGAGTTTGACTACAAATCGAAAAACTGGGGGCAACGTGGTGCGATAGACTGATGATCTTTGCGAAAATAGGAGCTTGTAGAACACGTCTACCCGTTCAGGCAGGGGTAAACAAAGGGGGTCACAAAACAACCAGCCACACACAATCTTTCTACTAGCCACATCGATCGTGGCCTCTCTGCCCACTTCCTATTGTGGCCGTGCAATTACGTCGCGCGAATTCCGCGAATAGACGCGTTGTACCCTGGACACTAAATAGAAAACAAAAACAACTAATTATTATATATATAATTAAGATAATAGAGTTATTTAATTATGAGTATCTTACAAGGTCACTATATACAAATCCATTTTAACTCCACACATATACATATTTAGTGGGACAAAGCTATTTTGTCCGGGCAAGCGTGCCTAGCAATGCTTGAATAGCACCACGAGGCCGACGCATCCTCATGCAAAGAATCAGAACCGAAGTCAACAGTGCAAGACTACCCGCCTGATGCGAAGCTGCAATCGGGGTCGGAACCAAGTATAAAAGTGTGGTAATGCCAAGCGTGACCTGCAAAACTGCGAACCCCACCACACCGTGAGAACCACGGTAGATGATCCGGGGGATCAGGTTTTTGCGGTAGAGCCTGTTGGAAAGCATATGGAAGCCCACGATTGCGAGAAAAGATGTGGTGGCCATGATGCGGTGGATCAGTTGCACAGTGACGGGGTTCTCCAGCAGGTTGCGCCATATCAAGTCAGAGTCGTCTTTTCTACGTGCGTAAAAGGTAGAAAATATTTCAGATTTAGGAGGGATGAAACCTTCGCCCATATAAGGGAACTCGTTGTAAATCAAGCCAGCGTCGAGACCAGCAACAAAAGCACCTGGAAATTGTTAAGTTTTCCATATCTGACTGCGTAGGGACAATCACCGACTTACCAGACATTGCCGTCAAAAATACAAGCCCAAGTAATCCAGTAGCAGCATACTTGTATGGCTTCAAAACCGGATTGCTTAGCATAGAAATATTGCGTAGGGCCTGTTTAGGCTCCTTGATCCATCGATTCTCCTTCAATACTTCCAATCCTGTCCAAAGCATTGACAAATACACAGCAAATGCTAATCCTAAGTGGGTCGTCAGCCGATACTGAGACACACGGGGATGATTGTCTTTGTATTTGCCCTCCTCGGTGTTGTTGTCCAAGAAATGATCACTTAAACCTGACGTGACCATCCACCAGCCAATGAAGCCCTGAAACCCAATTAACAGCGCAATTCCAAAAATGCGTCTACTAACACGCGGACTCGTCTTTTTCCGCAAGATGAAATACAGTCCAGGAAGAACAAAAGATAACCCGATAACCCGACCCCATAACCGATGAGCCCACTCCATAAAGAAAATAAACTTGAACTCGTCCAAGGTCATGTTTGAGTTGAGAAGCTTAAACTCCG